CATAAGGCTGAGTTGAGTAGTATAGGCCGCAAAAAAAAGATGTAATCCCAGCGGCGACTACTAGACTATGTTTTAGGCAAAAAATTGTATATAGATAAATTTTATTGTGCTAAGACTGAGAGCTGTTATGTCGACATTCAGGTTTAGTCCGCTAATTTACTTTTCATCCCGCCAAGTACATTGTTTCTTTTGTGTACCACGTACGCATTGCACAACATATCATCTACTACTTTTTATATATTTTTTGTAACCGCAAATCAGTATAGCAAAAGGCCGTGTTGAAGGGGGCAGGGCAACATTGTCCACGTTGTTGTCGTGGATGTTTCTTGCTTCAACATATTGAAATATTGCTAATTCTTACAAGCATTCAGCGAGAAGAAGTATTCTCAGAATTTTCAGCGAGGGTAGAACGTGTTGCACGTTCAGTGTGTACACCCGTACTGGTACGTAAATATAATCATACAGGAAACAGAAAATATCTTTAAGTATAATAATACGTTCGGAGTCTTCGGTCCGCAATTTGGTCTCGTTAATAATAACTTCGAAAACAGCTGTTACCTAAATTTTCGCTAACTCTGAAAAACGACATTGTTGTACTCAGGACCTCGACCAAAAATTAATGCGTACTTTAATTATAGTTTAGTAAATAAAAAATTGCTAGTAAACGAATGCAGGGGTAAAGTTTTAATCACGGGAAATATGGATATCGGATCTGAGCTTGATATACGATTTTTAGTGCTGATTAGGTAGTATAGGGGTCATTTTACGTTATGGGTTCAGACGAATGAAATCTTCATGGGTGAGGTACAGTCATTAAACACACCTCTTCTATCTGACTAAGCCTTAAATCCTGCTTATGGAACGGTGAGGATCAATTGAAATGATTGTGGATAGCAGTGAGTCTTCTGCAGTTAGTCGCGATCAAGAGCGCCTTATTTTCCAAGAACATATAAGGAGAATAGCACTCTGCAATAACAAACGACGTCGTCATTCAGGTTTGACAGTGTTGGTCTACTATTGATGCATCGTATAGGCCAAACTTCTATAATACAGTGATAAGGTATCCGGATATTTGATGTTAATTGGAAAACAGAGCATTTATAAACATACCGATTTATGACCGTTGAGTAAGAAATTATCTGTCCGATAATCGATTTTCCCCCGTCTAAGCACACGACAGATCACTAATCAAAATCGAAAATTTATTGAGAAATAGAGTCGTCTATAATATGAATTTGCTATGTACAATATACCGGTTACTCCTTACATCCTATAGATTCATCAGCGATAATTTTGCATTGTCATCGTGATAGCTTCGTGGGTAATTTATTTATGATACTTAGAAGCACAATTGTGGTGTAGGTTCGAATCCGGGAACGGACACATGGCGACGTTTCGTCCTGGGAGCCAGCCTAACGGTGATACCAGACGTAGAAATCGAAACCTTACGCAATTCATTAGCGAAAATCCGGCTCTTCGTATTCCTATCGTATATTAAAGCTATCAAATACATTTTTTAGCTTATACGATCGTCGCTCACCCTGCAAAACGCTGTGTATTGTCTCCGAAAGTTCAATGGCGAGATATGCCTAGATATCTGATAACCAACTTTGTTTGTGCATTTGTTTAATCCCTAGAATCAAAAACCTGTTGTCGACTTTGAGGTAAGGGATCATCGTCCTACCTGGATCAGGGCCGCGGTGGAGGGATGGCTGATGCCATATGGGCTCGGCAAGGTCTGTCTGAACGCAATCTCCAGAGGAGAGAAGGCGGGCGGGCGCAAAACGTTTTATGCCACGTGTGGTGGATCAACGCCCTACCCACCGGCTTTCTTCGGCTTAACGTCATCCTTTAATATCGTGTATCTCATTGGCTGTTTTTTCGGATCTCAGCCGCTGACTGTGATTGATTAGAACAACTTTTGTGACTAGCGAGAAGATTTCTAAGGTCGATTGTAGACCATCTAAGAAAACATGAATTACTGGTTTCTATTAAATGGTCCTTTTCAGTTCTCTCATAATATGTTCAGTGGAATCAAGCGCTTTTACAGTATTCCATAGCGATTCATGGTTATTCTTGAACGGTGGTCAGAAACTAAATCTTCACGAGTTCACGTGCCTGTCCGATACGTTCGATATACACCAGGGATAGCATGTTTCTTGATTCAGCACTTGATAGTGCACTAAGATATATGAATGGCCTTCTACTAAGTTCCAAAAGTTCTGATATTCTCCTTTTTTTTTCCTTCAGATACTCTCCATACTTAAATATCCATATCATCATCCAAGTACCTCATCCCGTTTAGAACGAGTCTGTATAAAAGCATGAATTCCAACGGAGTATTTTGACATATCACCTCCGGGCTTGACACAGTGGTTACGATACGTTTTTTCATTTGATAAATAATGTGACTTAACAAACATATACCGTCTTACATCTTGTAAATAGAACCTTTACATATGGCGCTTCCCTAATCCGATCGAGGTGGCTAGTCGAGATACTACGGCGATCGGTACCTCTATTTAGTGACTTCAAAATATTCGTTAACAAATAGGACATCGAGAAGCAGCAAACATCAAATACTGACAAATTGGAAAATATGATCTATTCTCAAGGATCTACTTTTTACTTACACTTTTTTGTTATCATACGGAATAAACAGAAACTGATTATAGTTTGAATGGTCACGATTCGATCAGTGTAAGTATAAACCAGCAGATTGTAGGTATCCCAGCTTTTTGCAAGGGTACCTGAACGTCCAACGTTATTAACGTTGTAATTGTAACTACAGGCGTAGCGACTCGTTTCTTAGATAATCAGGTGAAGAACTAAGCGTGCCATTATCTGGGAACTTAAGCTTTCAGAGCGGTTCATCGTACGTCACGTAAACGAAACTAAATTTAAAAATTGATTCAACTAATAACATGCACAACTTGATGTAATAGACAAAAGCAAGGCGACATACCTAAATTTCGGCTTTGATCAGAGATCGCTGTCTCAGTGCTACAATCCAATTTGTACCGATTAGCCTTTAATGATATTTGAATAATCATAAACATGAAAAAAAAAACATAAATCATTGAAAAAGCGTAAACAGATGCTTTGCGTGAGTGACGACATAACGTAGATTTTAATGTTGTCTCTAAGAATGCCTTTTATATATAGGGTGTCCTGAACAAACGAAAATCGGAGCTGAACTACATTATGGAGATAGTTTAGGACGTTGTAGCGACGACAATCATGTTATACATAAAAAAAAACCTAACCTTTTCCTTGAATCGGCCACCATTGAAATGTTACAGTTGGTTTACTACAATGAGTACTATTTGCTTAATGTTAAGAGCATATATATATATATATATATATATATACTGCTCATGATGAGGTTGGACCATTACTGGTTTCCCACGGGGAGTATTGGCCAGAAGGCGACTAACCTTCTACCAGTGGCATGAGTGCTCCGCTACCTTTCACTACTGGTTATATGAACGGTCGGTAAAATTAAATTTATTTATCGTTGTTGGTAGTAGTCAAATGTTTTCTACATATAGACCAACAACACAATATTCCTAGATATACTATACATTAAATCTTTGGAGCAACCTATGCCATATGGATTATATGAGTTTTGTTAAATATAGAAAAATAGTTTGAAAGATTTGTCAAATTTCCTAAAGATGCACTAAGGGGCAACGAGCGGCATGATATCCACCATGATTTCCTCCGTATCTGAAGTAAATATGCGCACCATTAGACCTGTGGACACCTGGTTCCCTGTATAGTCTGTGCTAGATCTCATGCACGACAAGGCGATTGATCCGATGTCTGTTTGGCCAGATCGTCCTATTCCGTTCTGCGCGCAAAGCAAAGAAACGCCGATTTGCCTTCGTGAACTTTTTCACCCAGTTCCTGTTATTAGTCTTAAAGGTTGAGAGGTCAAATTGGATAACAGCAGCGAATAGGCTTGGAATACGTTATTTGTAGTATTAATGCCCTTTCTAGGAAAAAGGTATTGACATGATTTAATTTTTCGAGATCGTTTGCTGTAAGATCCTGTCAAATGACGCGTATCTTACAGGTAGCGATTAGAGCTACCTTAAGATCGAACAAGCTGAGAAAGGTTGCCAGACACAAACGATCAGACGTTTTAATCGCTTACGTGGCTGGCACTACCTTCCTGTATCTTTTCGCGTAGGCAACGTGGACGATGAGACTTCTGCCGTTTGCAGAGAAAAGCAACCTTAAGTAGGGAAACTAGTCGACGTACGCAAAAGGCGATTCGAGGGCATATGACGTGTCAGCGGCTGCCTTCCTGTCCTTATGTCTTCCCTTCTGAACTTCTCCGTCGTCTCCGTCTCGCCCAGGTTTATGGTCGGGCCCAAGTCCACGACTGCCGCATGGAACCGGATTAGTGTTCGCTGCACTTAGAACCTGTTCTATCCCTATATTAGTAGGGATTAGATATAGCTGACGTCTATAAAGAAGCTTCATTTTTTTTTTAGTTATTGCCTGGCCGCTAAAGAAATTTTGTGAAGTGAGATTGACCTTGTGCTCTCATGGCGTTCTGAATTAATAGATCAACGTGGTAGCTAATCTACATGTATAATTAGATTACAATAGTCTTTCATATTTTTCTTAGCTTTTATTATATGTATATACATATATATATAATTTGATCTCAGAGTCCAACCATTTGAGAGACCGCCCTTACGTATATTTGGCTAGAGCGGTGATCCACGTTAAAAGCCTTAATCGAGCTGATTGATCGATTGAGTTATCCAGCCTTCACTAGAAAATTGTCATAAAACAACGTTCTGTTACTCTGTTCAAAGGTTTTCATACCATTATGGACTAGCGTGTCATAAGACAAGTAGCCAAATGCTGACGAAACGCACTTCATTAAAATACTATGTTTTGATATTATTTGAATGTCATCAATTTGATACCAATAAAATAGCTACAACAGCTAGTCAATGACGATTATTTTGGCTACGTTTCAGGCTTCGAATGCCACGAAATAGATCTGCTGTACGAGGTTCACCCCACGGACTCGACGCCCGGAGTGAGGAAAGCTGCCAACGATCGGAGGTCGTCGTCAACGTTAACGGCAGTAAAAAATAGTAATCGCCAGCAACAACATTTGGATTCGGAAAGCGATGGAAACGTTTTCAAGTTTCGTAGCAGCAATAGCAACAACAACAACAACAATAGACATCGCAACTCCAATAACTACTACCGCAATGCCATTTCTCTCGCGCCGAACTCGAATATCCGGATACCGCACAGGCGAGTGAAACCTTACTTCCTTATCTCTCGCCGGCATTTGCCGGAAGAAGTATTACCATGAACTTCGTCTACTTTTGTAAATATTTCGAGAACTGTCCGCGATGGCCAAAACGTATACTTATGCATAAGTTACCGTTTTCAAAAGCGAACCTAAAGACCCAGTCGATTTTTTTATTTAATCGATGTTTGTGTACTTGACGAACTATCGAGTTACCTATACAACCAACAGAGAATACAAAAGTACAGAGCTTTTTCTGCATTTTGTTGCATTGATATTTTTTGTCATCAATTAAATTATCGATTTTTTGTCCACACAACAAAAGTGGTTATCCGCGCTATGCAAAGAGTTAGCATATACTTAAAGGACGCTGATTAAATGTCTGTAAACAACACAATGATCTCCTCATATTTAAAAGGTGAGTGTACTGCTAGGAGATCATTCGTCGTTTCCATAGACATCAAGCTTCTTGGTTCCCTCGAAAAGTAATTGACAATCTTGAATGCTTTCTCACACTCAAAAATCAACAAGGAAAAAAACATAAAAGAAGAGTTCCTTTTTCCAGTAATAGACTTGAAACACAATTATGTTTTGAGTGCAGGGATGTCAATTTTTATCTGTTTGATGGCAGTTCCGGTAAGCGCATTCGCTCGGAACTGTTCGCCCGCTGCCGTCATCTTTACCTTTCATTTTACAAAGGGTCCCTGAATGTCCACACAGCTATCCGCACTTACGGATGCTTCTTTGCAAACACGCTCAAGCAGTCTTTGCCCAGAAACGCCGACGTTTGCTCATGCGTACGTTTTAGAATTGACACGAGCATCCTTAATGTACCTGGAATTCTGAATCAGTTCTCTGCAACGTCAATAAATTCCGTGAGGAACAAATATCGAAAATAGGCACAGAATGTAATGATCGGATTGGCCTGGCGTGAGCCTGCGTATCACATTGCGACAAAGATCAAACGCCCAGTGATACAGAAAATGTCCTAGCTCTTTTGGATGCTTCAATAGTACTTTGTCGATCGCTGCTTCCTGAAGGATAACGAGCAGCCCTTGACAAGACGCCCCCGACACACCATTCACGATACTAAGGCACAAAACGTTCAGATTCTTCTATTTGCACGACAGATTGCTAAGTCTTAACTGTTGGATGGCAGTACGCTGCTCGAGGTGTATAGTAAATATAGTAGCCGTGCTATTCCACCGTATAAAAAGGTGACCGATTCAAGACGATTTGCGACATACGGTAAGATCATTGTTTGCTCTTTCTTAGAGTTGTCCTTTCGCACGGTTCGTCGTGATTGATCAGACGTGGTATTAATAAGTCTACCTTTAAAGGAGAGATTTAGTGCGTGGGCTATGCACCTCGCCCGAATTAAATACATGCGTCGGACTAAGGCCTCCACTACAAGGGCCCCGCCAGTATTTATAAATGGGGTATTGGTGTATTTCAGAATGATTTCCATCGCTTCTTTAGTTGTATACGACCGAAATTAGATATCGGTAAGAAGACTAAGATTAGGAGTCATTTTGCAGAATTTTCTTATCGGCGACAGGACCGAAGAGTTTGCCCGCGATGGGCTGACCCGTCACAACTTCATCACAAACTCTTGAATGCGAAGATACCTACCAGATTAGAAAACCGGCCAGACCAGTAGATTTTGCTTTGGCAGGCGCAACTTATACACATGTATGCTTTTTGGCTAGCGTGGATACTTTTTTTAAGAACAATCAGGAAAGTAAACAAGTTTCATGTTAAATTGCCCTCCCTCTCTCTCTCTCTCTCTCTCTCTCTCTATATATATATATATATATATATATATATATATATACGTATAGGGATTATATTGTTGGCGAAGGATTGAATACACAAAACAAAATTCTAGAAACTTTATCATACGGTGTTGTGCGCTATCTGTGTAGGCGCATTCAATTTGTGCGTGTTTTTTTTTTGTTTAGACTAGTGCTTCCGGAGGAAATGCCCCGCCATTTCATGCTATCTTCCCGGCTCAAGTCGGAAAGTCCATTAGGGGGCTATTTGTTCGCTGTGTTGGACTCATCGGACACCGTTATCCAGCTCGGCATGTACATGCACCCGGTGGACAACTTTAAACAAAATATTACCATCTATTATTCAGATACGAGAAACACCAGAAACAACCAGATTGCAAAATTTGTTATTGACGACTTCACCGGATCGTGGATATGGTAAATACAAGCTTCTTTTGCAAACGCTATTTATAGGTATCTGATTTATTGACGAATGGCAACGTTGTCGTACCGATATGGACAGTAACAAATCTATGAAACGCTGAATACTTTTTTCATTACATCCACCGCAAGCAAACGGCTCCTTTCCTGGCGAGGCAGAGTCAATCGATTCGAGTCCCTTTGCCAAATACGGGTATATAACTGCTATGCGTGTAGTTTAATGAAGAAAGTGATGGGACAAACGCGTTTCGTGTTCATCTAAGAAACCATAGCAAGAATACTCAAACCAGCGATCAACTATACGCCAAGTATATTAATCGTGCATTTGAACTTTTTCATACAATTGACTTTTTGTTATATTTAACGCAGCAGCATGATAAACAGTGCGATCCAGAAGATGTTTTTACGGGGGCATTATACTTAAATAGCAACATGTAAATGTATTAATGGGGGGCAATAAAGCGTATGCTGGCATAAATAGTCGATACATCTGCTCTGCTAATGGTAGACCCGCATCGTATTCTTCCACTTCGAAGTGCTTCCAGCCATTTCATAGCTTGCACACATATTTTCGCAGAGCCTAAGTTACTTGTCCAAACTGAACTTTAGCTTTTCGTCTTTTGCCACGCGATATAACGACAATCAGCTGACGTAAATTCACTTTAAGGCTCCTCAAACACATATTTAAAGCGAAGCAGATTTGCCAATAAATAGTTCAATTATTAGTCCTATAAAATAGAAACCGGCAGCTCATTATGAATAATTTCCAGGTGCAGGTCCTGACGCGGCATAAATTTGTCTTTGGTGAGGGTTATGGGAGACAAAATACTGCGTAGTTCGAAAGATGTCGTCTTCGTTTACGGCTTCCTTTTTCCTTATCCTCAAGTGCTGTATACTTTTGCAAAGCTGTTCGAAACTGTTATTGTCGTTTTTTTTCCTGATGACGGAATTTATTTTCAGTTTGCGATTCGAAAAGATAAATAGGATAGAAAGGAAGCTTTGAAGAAAAAGTTGACCATTCATCCACGGATGTCAAAAAAACAAGCCAGGAGTTTTTTCGGCATACAGTAAAGGGTACAGCTAATAGGTATCGGCGTACCTATCAAGTATTTTTTGTTCATGCTGGCTCAAGGTAGTCCCCACTTTATTTCAAACATAGAATACACACACGCGCACACATAAACACAGAGAAATTGCATTGTTTTACTTGAAAATGTCATTTTGTACACAATAAGCCACTTCCGAGTAGCACTTTCAGTTATAGGGTTATATTCGTACTCGCCGTACCCATCTAGGTTCATTTCAGTAGATATTTGGGTTGAGTGGATAATGCGCCCCGAAAGCCCTTTTTTTGGTGCTGGGCACCAAATGACCTCTGAAATTCATACTTAAAGTAAAACTTTATGGTCTGGGCAAAACGGCGACAATGGATTTGTAAGAAAGAAAAGATCTTCGGAGCGGTAGACAGCCAGCGAGCCGACATTTGGGGATGTGAAGCAATAAACAAAAAGTCGTAATTTAAACAATCGAATCAAATTGTCAAATATATAAAGCTCCCAAACTGTCTAAGCTGAATGGCCTTTCAGGCCTCTAAAGGCTAGGCCAAATAGCCGTGATGAATACGAAGCCTAACATACTTAACTGGCGTTTTCACGGGGTGAAGTGGGCTTTTTAATTACTATGCTCGAATTTTCTTGCCCTAATGCAGCATGTTGGTTTTTTAGCATATGATTATTTAGGTACAAAGCTAGCCTTGTGCAACGAATACGCGGCCACAAGGTGGCCTCTGTCGCAGAATGTCTCTACGAATCCAATTCTCATTACCACCGCTTCATTGTAGAGAGAAGCAGAGTGTTTAAGCCTTCGATTATCGCCAAAATGGCGGCTTTTCCGTTCGCAATAGAATGTTTGCGCTTAACACAAATTCACTGAGGACACCCTGTATAGATGCTTGTCGCAGCTTATTATTCGTGTACTATATACTTGGTATATCAGTTAGCGTTGCATAATTTTAACAGGTTGAGCTTGAAACTTCACGGGAACGATCTCACATTATTCATCAACTGTAAGAACGTTTCAACAGCTCGCGTGTCCCGAAGTCCTGGAGGGCTAATCTTTGATATGGTTTCTACACTTTTTGTGGGCCAAGGTGGACCAGTTTTCAGTGGACATTTTGTGGTAAGAGCTGTTTTTAAATATAAGCTATATGTAAAGTATTTTAATCTAGTTTTAGACTATCAGTTAGAGAATAGTTTACTAATATTGTATATACCTCACTGTTAGAAATACAAATTTATTAGCCATCATTTCATTGAGTTGGCCAACGTATTGGCGGATTTTTTTCATATCATGCCTTTTGCTTAGAAGGACAGGGAATGGATAGTTGTTATTTCGTAAATTGTACTGATCAATCGGCGGTTACGCTTTCTAAGTTTCATTTCAAGTAGCTATAGTAAATACGAAAAAAGAAAAAAACACCCCATCCTACAACATAGGCCGATAATGGAGTTACCGTGTAAAATATCTCTACTGTACATCAGGAAAACCTAAATACGAATTGAGTACGAAGAGCGTTTGATGGGTATCTAGGTTTGAGTTCTTATTCCTCTGCCATACGCTCGTGGCAGGGTAGACTTATTGTCCATTGCGCGAATCTCGTAACGTTGCACATTCGCCGCCATATCCAAACATGTATTTTAAATTGTACTTTTCTAATAAGCAATAGAATTAAATGAATAGCCATGCGCAGGTAGATCCCTGTCAACCATAAGCGTCGCCTCAACGCTCGACTGTAAGGGTAAGTGGCCTAGTAAAATTCAACCGGAGGGCTCGTTCGAGTACCCGCACTATACGTGTTTCCTCTACACATGCTTTTCAATTGAAATAACTGACTTAACTTCACATTAGGCCTTCATATTATTGATTAGATACGTTCGTATGCGGCTGCAAAATACGCCGTTCCATATTCAATGACCCACGCGTCAAACATCAACTCTGGTCGTGCATCACGCCTGCACGTAATCAGAAACAATAGAAACTGAACGAAAATTAGAATTTTGTTATTTTTATTTGCTCATTATCTTATTTCGATTAATTTTTCTTAACCACTAGGCCGGATTTTCTTTAACCACAGTAGAGTATCCTTAGTAGTAGAGTAAAGTCCGCAATGCAGCCGGCGGGTTTTTGTTCACGCATATAATTAGAGGGCTGCAACGGGGCCTCGTAAGGTCAATATGGATGTTGTTGCGCGTATCCACATATTGGTCATTCATTCCTTTAACCTTGTGTTGGGCAGAAGATGTGACGACGTATGAATTCGATTACAGCTTCAGCCATGATTGTAAGAATATAATCAAGCCACTCGAGTATTTGAAAACTCATCAGAAGTGAGCTCATATGAAATTTTAGGTTATACCGTACAGCAGGATAACGTTTAAGGTCTTGACCAACTGTGAGGGGCGGCGCATTTTGGTACGCCATCGTAACAGACAACGTCAGCAATCTTCTCTACCGACTGGAAAGCGGACCTCTGAAAAATTCCGTTATCTTGCCCTTGCCCTTCCGAGATGCACCTGAAAGTAGTTTTTAGGCTATTGCACGAATCTGCCCAATACAATATGTGACAGATTTGACTCTGAGGCCATTTCGTTATTTTCTACCATTCGTGAATTGTCGCAGCAATAGGACCTCTAGTGCCCGGACAGTTTCGATATCGGATGTTATTGAAAAAGAACAGTTGTTTAATATGTTGCAAACTTTCAACATTTTTCTTGGCCAATCGTCATTCAGAAGTGCCTTGCAACTTCTGACTTCGGAATCGCAATGGATACGACAACGGAAAGCGCGAGGTATGCGCACCCTTCTTTGTAGCTATGCAACTTCTAAATGCTCCCAGCTAGATCTGAAGTTTAGGATAGGTCTATTGTAATCAGCCAAAAAGTGGGTTAATATAGCAGTGATGTGGAAACTGCTTTAATTCCCGCTCATCAGAGGATTTCCTTTATCTTCGCCTGTCTGATAGCATTACGAATATACAACATCAGTTTCGATGGTCCACTATCGAAATGAACAGTGGCTTCTCTCACTTCTACAAGCGAGAAGATCTGATTCGAGCTCGACGGCATTATTTTTTTTACGTATCCTATGATACGTATTCAGTGTATCTAACGGTGCAGAACGAGCTGAACGTTCGAGTACTAATGTTTTAATACACATTTCGCATGTTGCTGTTTACAACCGTCGTGTATGTACGTCGGAACTTACTGAACTATGCACGTACCCTCTTCGGCAAAGTCAAAGTTACTTTTGAATTTTGTTCTAGAAAACGTTCGAATTGTCCACCTTCAACGCATTTTGTACGCACTTCGAGGCAATGAACTGGTTTGTTTTTGAGGAATCTTTTTTGAGCTTTCGATGATGCCATTACTCTGCTGCAGATGATATAAGGGCTCCAATCTAGACAAGGTGCACATCAAACTATATATTTAATTTACCATAGCTGTTGCAATTTATATCACATTTGTCGTAAATGCCCACTAAACCTAGACCCATTTACTTTAATTATTCGTCAGGGCCCGAAAAATATAGTTAAATAACACTGGGATATTGGTTTATCTTCCTGATTATTCCTTTTCGTAACACATCAATATGGGGCAGTAGTACGTAGCTGCTACTATTATATATAATAACAATACTCTGTAGTAACTATATGCTAGCGTAGTTATAGTTATTACTTTTGTACTATTTGATCAAAGTGGTCAGTTTCTATATTAGTTATTCCTTCCTCGTGACAGGGCTCGAAGGTCATCAAAACTTTTACTTTTTCCCTTCGTTTAATCACTGACTCGACGAACGACACGACGGGCGTTCGCGAGCTGCCGCTGCTCCAGGAAAAACTCTGCTTGACGATGTGGAGAGGGTAAAATGGAAGTCGCTTCCCGGGAAAGGGAAATTCGAACAATCTCGTGGCGGGAACACTCTCCTCTCCCTCAGGAGCGGATTGTTCGCATGAACAGGACTCTCGACTACGGCGACAGTGCTATGGTCGGTCGCGATTTCTTACTCTTGCTGGCTTGACTCAGCGTCTTACCCCGCTTCCTCCTCGAGTTTGTCTCTTGGCTTTTGACTCGCGGTTTGTGACCATGGCGGACTACGTCGGTACTTGAGTTCGGCGATATTCACGGCAAGCGAAGACCTAGGACAGAATTGTTGTAACCTAGTTAAGACATGCACACAAAGCTTAGCACAGAAAACTGTGATAGCTTTAACAAAACATACAAGAAATGCTGGGCAGTTCGGGGGAAAGTTTTTTTTCTTTCGATTTGAAGTCTGTTTACAAAATCAATGCCTCTGCTTAATATATTTTTTAACTGTCTAAGACTGGTCGACACAACGAGATGAATACGATCGACTGAAACGAAAGAGGTCAGTTCAAAAAGGATGCTACGGCCGCTGATTGACATGTGGGTTGCTACAACGCCGGGCCAAACCATTGACGGAGCACGCGGCCCGAACTAAGTTACTGAAGTTAGTGACCTTACATGAAGTGTTTGACCCAGGTGGAGCAAGTTCGAAAAGTGCGCACAACGAAGATCCGCACAGTGTTTCCTGTATCCAGTAGATACCGATGATTTCTTCTTATTATCAACACCGTCATCGAGGTACTACGACTTCCTTGGATTGAATGCGTGCTTATTCGCTAATATGGAGCTGATAAACGATGCTTAGATGGCTCAGGTGACCCTAACGAATGTGGCAAAGTTCATGGAAGCTTTTTCGAAAATAACTAAACTCGATAGAGCTTAGAAGTATTTCGGCGAAAGCTGTTGGAAAACTGTGACAGCATCAGATTGTGCAGAATCTACCTGTAAATGTATGGTGTCTGTGCAGGGACGTATGTCAACGTACTTATTCTGTCTAATCGTGTCGAACGTTAGTTAGGGAAAAACAAAACAGGTAAGCATATGTATGTATATATATATATATATATATATATATATATATATATATTGGAATACGCTACTTGCCATTTTTTACTAATGCCTGGTATAATTTTTATGTTTCATAACTTAAGTTATACAGATTTCATAAGTTCTAATAGGACCTGGAGATCAATAAACCTTCGATTCCTCTTTATGTTGCAGTCCAAAGTGAAAATCCATAGCGTAGGGACGAAGTAGAAAGCTTATTCGATCGACTATCGTCTTACGGTTTTTTTACCTGCTTCAACTTCAGTTAATAAAATTTTGCTTCACAAAAATTATTAGCACACAGAAGTAAATCGTTACTTAATCCTTAACTCGTTTTTTTCTCAAGGATAAGTAACTATTGGTAAAGAGTAACCATCGGCTCTCATATGATTTAAGTCGATATATTTAGCTGCTGTCATTCCATTGAAACAGTGAAGACATTCCTTAGCACAGATACGTATACCATTAGGATCAATGTTTCCTGCCAAGAAGGCACAGTGGACCATTGTTGTCACAACTTAAAAAAAGTCTTAAGTATAAAAATAACTTAGGAAATACAGTAGTTGCATTGGAGTCTCTCAAACGGGCAATCGAATTGGGAACATCAACGGGTTTTAATAATAATAATAATGGAAATATTATCCAAACTTTAACTATATTATCTTAGTTCGTTATAGCTACGCGGGTGATGATAGTTGTGATCTAAATGGGCATTTCTGACATTAATAACGTAGCCGACTGGAGCTGTGAAGGGGGAGAACAGCTGAAATGATGAGCCCAGCCTCAAATCCAATGGCAGCCAATAGCCACCTTGCACATTTGCGAACGTACGCCGCCATATGAACACCTACCGTCTACTTTGTCTAGCCTTGTAGGTTTATTTTGTATATATTTGTAGGTTAAGCTGCTAAAAAGGAGAGAGCGGCTTCCCTAAATTCGACTGTCCGGCTGCTATTTGAGATGAGAAATACAAGTTACCTTTTTTAGCGAATGCTGAAATTGATTCACCAAGGGTTGACTCTGAACGAACGTTCCGTTTAGTAGTTTGGCAAGCTTGCCTCGTGAAACTTGTCCAAAACCAAAATAAAGTTTGAACAGATAAAAAGAAAACACGTAATTCTATTAGCGGTAACCAGAAATAAGCGCCATTCGTCATTTCCTGCTGATTTTTTGTCGTTCAGCCCTTCCATCGACAGCAAGTACCTTGACTACTTGACATCCAGTTATCTTTTTACTTTGCCAGATAACAAAGAAATCGTGTGACAGAAATAAGCTAGGTTAAGATATCAGCCAGCTCTTTAAGAAAACTAACGTAAAGAGAGCCAACTTAGATTCGGCAAAACAAATGCTGTTTCTTCTCCAATTCGTATTAGCAGGCCGTTCAAGCTACCAAGTCGTATTGACATACCGAATATGCATTAACGAACATGCCACGACGTGCGCCCCATGCTTACCGATGGCACGCGCGTCGCACGCTACCATTGGTGTTATAAGACGCTCGGTCCCAGCGCTTGTTCGCGACGCATAATACAGCTTTTGAGCAAATACCTTAAACGCAACGATTTACCGCGACTCGATATCGTACACACGGGCTCGATAGAACTCCACTAAGTGATCCAGTAAGGTCTACTACTGTTCCGTCATCTCTGCACCTACAACGGGTCCTTACAACGGGTCCTTACAACGGGATTCTTGGTGACCGCGATCATAAGTTTTTTCGAACTTTAATGATACTTTTTAGGACAGCGTTGCACAGTGAGCACCGCCGCAGTATATTTGTCGGCTCCGTAAAGATATTCGAGCGTGGAATCGATGTTCGACGCACCACGAATTGAGATAAATTATAGATACTTTATTATATACTTGATTGGACTTAAAAGCCCTGTGCATTAGAAAAAAAAAAAATAATACTTTTTGGGTCCTAAATAAAAAATCGTCGAAATTCTCGCTGAAGTACATTTCTTGAGAAATACAGTATCTTCAGACACTTAATCGTCTCTAGCTTCAGTTAAGTTAAAGCAGTCACTGTTATCAACAGCGATACGACGAGGTATACCTAACAATCGATATGCGTCGGATTGCATAAAGGAGGCGACTCCGGGCTTTTGAAAGGCGTGCTTCATTTTTCAAAAAAAAAAGTTTAAAAAAGTTAACACGAGAAAGGGGAATAGATTGAGATCGGCCTGTATAGGTGCACGCGTATCTGGGGGAGGCGGAGGGGGGAAGGTACTGGGAAAACGAATATTTATTCAGCAGTAGCGCGAAATGTCGCATACCACCGAGCTGCAGCAATTCTCGCAACAAAGTGGCCGCATTTTCCGATCCGCGTACCCCACATCGGTCACTCTGGGGGGTAAAGAAAGGCTTGGGTAACATTGTACGTGCTCCTCATTCTAAATTTTTCATAGTGGAAGGTAGCGGATTCAACGCATAGTGGCCTGCGGACCTACATCAATATCACTATAAGAAACCACTTTGGAGAGATCACTGACAATCATGACGAGGTGAATTATACTAAAAGGTATGACTTTTAGCTACATTTAGAAACATTAGTTCTTAAACATGGTTGACGTAAACACGCTTCGGTTATACGCGTGAACTATGCACACGCCTAACAACTGGTGTATAACCTTGACCATATTCTTGTTCACAGATTGTAAGTCTACTGCAATGGTTAATTGTCATCTTAATTTAGTACTGTGTGTACCGTGAGTATTGACTTATTAAACGGAACTAGCTGAAATACTATAAAACACACAATTTGTTATTGCAGCCCGCTTATTTATTCATCAAAATACTTGTTGCACTCCCGACACCCCGAGATAAGACTGCAGATTTTAAGCTGTACTATCTTTCGTAAGTTAACACAACAACATGTAAAAGTAAGGGTAGACCAAAAATAGTCGAAAAGTCCGTAGCAAGCAAGGTACAATAACGCAGCACCGAACTACAGACATGTTCTATGCTTATCGAACTTCACCTAAACTTACAATTTAAGCGAACAGATACACTTCTCGATAATAGAAAACATGATATTGGTTTGACTTTCCTTCCGACTTTCAGTACCTTCCTGGTCATTCTCAAGCCCACCTGCAAAGTATGTCCTGTTGGCTATGGTGGTAATTGTGTATTGGTATTGTTATAAGGATACCAAGTTGCTCGAGGTAAGCCGGGGGAACATAGGAGCGCCGACCCCGCTTCTCGTTAAGCCCCTTTGTAATGTGCCAATCCAACTAAGAATGTTAGGCTTTTGCGAACATTGGAATTCATTGGATCACTGACCGCACGAGGGCAGCGGCACGCGTCGTGCACTGCCTGTCTGCCTTCGTGGATAGAGCTCGTTGAAACAAGCACTAACGTCTCCTTAACTACTATTGTAATTGAAACGACTTCTACCTCACTATAGGGCAGCGACCTTCTTTTTACTCTACTTCATTGCGGCGTCTTTGACTGCATTACAACCTCAAAGAATCAGATTGAGTCGTCGAGCGGATTTAGGAGATGGTCGATCTCTTTATCAGCAGGTAGCACGAGGGAATTAGCGTACTTGATGAAAAGAATGAACACATAACTAGTCGCGTGCGGGGCGCGCTGTCTTCGAAGCTCGTTCGGCTAAGGGGTCGTTCTTATAGACGACTTGGACACTGGTTGTGCCATTCTCTAGCTCCACCAATAACTCTAGGACGTCACGAGTGTGATCGGGCTATACATCTGCCTGAATACAATCATATTTGAAAACAACAAAAACCGTGTGTGAGATTTGTCTCAGATGTACCACAAATGTTTACAAGCAATGTCTGTTTTTTGCCCCTAGCATATTCATATAGTATCGTATACACGTAGAAAGAGTATGACTTGAGAATGCCATACAAAAACCGGTTTTCCAATTATTTATATGAGAACATAATGTTAAGAGGTGTCGCTACAAAGTCTAGGGGGGCACTCCGCAGGACATTGTACGAGCCGAGGGATTCGTCTCTCAGAAGTCGTGGTTTATATGGCTATCCCGTCATGAAATAGAGCTTACATGCCCAAATTATGAGAAGTTAATCCGGAGTTTGAGTTTAACGCGACACACTTCGTTGATGCTGTTTGCTCTAAGAAAACCTTGAACGAAGATTGTCTCGCGGACGACCATGACTCCCCGCACAAACGAATTGTGCGGATTTTTACAGCCACTGTATACGTAGATTCGATAGTAAGGAGATATGTGCGCAATGTGTGATTGCCTTATCGTACGCGGTATTTAGTTGGAACGTCTCATAGATCTAATGGTAAAACATTGTCATCCTTAAATAGACATCAAGGGGTAGTTCGCCTATATAAGTGAAACGATGTTTTCTTTTGACGTTTTTGTTTTTTATTGGGGATATTTAGTGATACGCCGAATTATACAGGAATTTAATATCGTAAAGTAGAAGGGATTCTCAGCAGCTCATTTATGTACGTACATGGGTGTGCGTGTATATGTCATCAGCAATGCCAACTGTGTCTGCCGTGTAGAACGTATCACCTTGCGTTAGTAAACCATTGAGCGCAAAAAGGTCTCGAGCCTAATCGACTACAAGAGGGGGACTGGCGAGAAAGGGCCTGGAAAAAGGGAAGACGCACAGTAAGGTCAACCCTAGCAGGCCTTCGCTAGGAACATTTCTTCTACAGTACAAACATTAGGTAGCGGGGTCATTTGCGCCTACAGTTTGACCCTATAATCGACACCTCTCTACTTATCATTCGCACACACTTGCCACAGCCATGTGCCGTTGTTCCTTTTAGATTTATATATGCGCATAGGTGTGTGTATGTGTGTATATAGGCAAATGGCCTTTACGCACAGGGGGTTGGAAGAGGAAGGTCTCCATTATGGAAGCGGCTACGATAGGGGCTGTTCCATCCTATAACTTGTTTCGCGAGGCTCTCTGCGAACGAGCGAGCAAGGTCCGGAATCCTTTGCTCGACCGATATCTAGAGCTGGTGCAGCCCTTGGCG